TCATCCGCTCCCGCCACTGGATATTCATCCGCTCCCGCCACTGGATATTCATCCGCTCCCGCCACTGGTTATGCATCCGCCCGAAATTCCACTCTACGTCCCTTTTTTGATTCCGTTCCCAGTTCATCTAATATCTTCGTTCCTAACTCCGCTCAAGTTTTCGATCCAAATTCCTATTTTGTTCCCGCTAGAGATTCTGTTCATGGTTTCGCTGAAAATTCCGCTTTCGTTTCCGCTCCAGATGGCAGTCCACATTCCATTTTTGTTTCAGATCCCATTTCCGCTCACGACTTCGATCCCATTTCCGCTCACGACTTCGATCCCATTTCCGCTCACGACTTCGATCCCAATTCCGCTCACGACGTCGATCCCAATTCCGCTCACGACGTCGATCCCAATTCCGCTCACGCTCTCGATCCTGTTTTTGTTGCCTCTCCAGAATCCTCTTTTACTCCCGTTCTAGATTCTGCCTTTGTTCCCACTGTAGATTCCACATTTCCATTTGCTCCACCTCCTACTTCCGCTTCCAGAACTGTTTCCTCCCTTTCTGCAGCCTCGGCTTCCGCCGCCAAACCGGCTTCCGCCACCACGCCCGCTTCCACAGTTGCTCGCCACCACGCACCCTCTCCCGCTCCCGCTTCACCCGTCGCTACCTCTCCCGCTCCCGTTTCACCCGTCGCTACCTCTCCCGCTCCCGCTTCACCCCTAGCTACCTCCAACGCAAGCGCCAGGGACCAAGCCAACGGCTCCGCCACAGCCCACCCCCAATTGAGGTATTACCTTGGGGACTCGTGTAGCACTTCCGCCTTGAAGAGCCGCGCGGACTCCGTCGCCCCCCTCTCCTTCCCGCAGACTCAACTTGCTCCGTCACATCCTCAGAGTCATCTCCTGCACCTAGTCCCGCCTTTCCAGACTGCGCTGCTGCCTCCACCAGGAACGGCCTCTTCCTCCTTTGCCGCTAATCCCCTTCATCAGACACCCCCCATCCGGCCCTGGTCTCACTTTCAAACTCTACCATTAGACACGCCAATCATCTCCCCCTCCTCCACCTCGAACTCTGATGCTTCCACTGGCTATCCAGATCCCGTTCACGTCCTTGCCACTGCCCCATCCAGTTCCGCAACCGTCCCCGCCCCTGCCCTCGGCGGGG